CACACTGTTTCCCAGGTTCTGCTGCGATGCAGATTTAGGGTTTGTCTGTGTCTTTGTGACTTGCCACCTGCTTCTCTACACGCTTGCAAAGCTTCCTGTTATTTGTACTATATGTTATAATTCTATTTTGAAATAATTCGAAGGTGTAAAAGTGTAGTATTATTAATTGATTTTGTTTTAAACATTTGACTCTGCAGAAGAATATAATTATTTTTAACACTAAAATAATCCTTGTTTTAAGTCTTTGAAATGTTTTTTCCTTTTATATTATGACAAGAGTTCTGTGTAGACATTATACATTTTTTTTCTTCTTCCTGAAAAAGTATCTTAGAGACTCTTAAACGGGAAGGAAAAGTGATGCATGGCCTTCATGAACTTGGAATCAAAGAGGAGATCCTGAGTAAATTTATGAGGTTGCATATACATCCTGCAGATGACAGTTATGCACTAGATATTCGTCACTCTTCAATAATAGTGAGTAAATAAACAATTACTTATTTAAATGTTACATATTTGATACTATGTATAAGACAATCTGTCTTTTTTGGTAATGTAGTTAAAATACTAGACATAAAACCATATAACAATAAGCAGTGTAAAATATTTTGGAGAGTGATACCTGTTCAATATATTTTAGAAGTAATTTTCTCTAGCCTATACTTTATTAAAATTTTAAGATGTAGGATATTTAAAAGGAGAGAGGAACGTATCTAAGAATGATTGCACATTCATAGCTATAGAATTTGACTTTATGGCAATTAATCAAGCTATTTAAAATCCTTGTATTATGCAAGACTGCTAAACGTACTTTAAAGATATGATAATTGAATTGTGGAGAACCTAAATATTTTGTTTCTAATTGTCCAATGGCTTTGCTTTTCTTTCCTTCTATTTCAAAGTTTATGCAGTTTTCATTACAAAGGTTATAGACCAGTGAAAAAGGCACTAAAATACTAGTTTTCTTCACCTGGAAGAACTATATTTCACTCTTCTGTTTGCCAAATATAGACAGACTTGCACAGAAAACAGTAGAAGAACTAATCAGCCATATATTAGTTACTTAGTTATTTTGATATATATAAAGTGCTGCTGCAGGTTATGGATAAATACTGCATTTGTTTTACAAGGTGGTTGTGCTGTTTTATGTACATATCTGAGTTGTGACCTTTGTATTGTGAAAGTGGTTTGCACACGTGAAAAAATGCTTTTATTCACATTCTGATACAGAGTACAAAGGATCTCTTTTCCTTTTCCATTCATTATTAGTTTTATGATGTACTGCAAATAAAAAACCTGAACAGTCTGATTGAAAAGGAAAAAAAATACTAATTTTAGAAGCTATTTTCTGTTACTATTTCAAAAAGAAGATAAAACACTTTATTCTTTTCAGGCTTTCCATGTGTTTTAAAATAACTTTATTTATACATACATATTTTACTCAGTGGTTAATATACGCTTTTTAAATGGCTGTCTTCTTTGTTTTAGTGGGTTAATGATATAGAACAAGATAACCGCTATAGCATGTGGCCTGCGAGCTATCAGGACCTACTAAAGCCTGCATTTCCCGGAGTTATACAGCAGATTAGACGCAATTTATATAATTTGGTAAGTTTGGAGAACTGAATTTTTTTGCATAGCTTGTGTATTTTAACATGGACAGAAAATATACTGAAAAATACACATGCTGTGTTCATTGTTAGCATAGGTTAGAAATTCGTTTTCTATGTGGGTCTGCTACTAGTCCTGACTGACTAATTTGGTGGCTTTTCATGATGAGGTTACAGCATTGGTGGGTAAGGGAAGAGCAACTGACATCGTCTACCTGGACTTGTCTAAAGCATTTGATACTGTCCCACGCGACATCCTGTCTCTAAACTGGAGAGACATGGATTTGACAGATGGACCACTCGGTGAATAAGGAATTGGCTGAATGGTCGCACTCAAACATTTGTGGTCAACAGCTCCATGTCCAAGTGGAGACCGGTGACAAGTGGTGTTCCACAGGAGTCAGTACTAGGGCTGGTGCTATTTAACATCTTTGTCGGCAACATGGACAGTGGGATTGAGTGCACCCTCAGCAAGTCTGCTGATGACACCAAGTTGTGTGGTGGTGTGGATACGCTGGAGGGAAGGGATGCCATCCAGAGGGACCTTGACAGGCTTGAGAGGTGTGCCAGTGAGAACCTATTGAAGTTCAACAAGGCCAAATGCAAGGTCCTGCACGTGGGTCGTGGCAATCCCAAGCACAAGTACAGGCTGGGCAGAGAACAGATTGAGAGCAGCCCTGAGGAAAAGGACTTGGGAGTGCTGGTGGATGAGAAGCTCAACAAGAGCTGGCAATGTGCACTGGCAGCCCAGAAAGCCAACCGTATCCTGGGCTGCACCAAAAGAAGTGTGGCCAGCAGGTCGAGGGAGGTGATTCTGCCCCTCTACTCAACTCTCGTGAGACCCCACCTAGAATACTGTGTTCAGCTCTGGAGTCCGCAACATAAGAAGGACATGGAGCTGTTGGAGCGAGTCC